CTTGCAGTAGGCCTCCCAGGGGAGTGACCAGAGTGTACTGGTAACGATACATCTCGGATGCTCAAAACAAGCAGAGAAAGCGTCGACAAAGGGCAAGCACCACTTCGGCCTTCTTCGCAGAACGTTCAGTCGGTTTGAATCCTAAATCTTCCCACAAATGCCTTATACCTACGTGCGACCTCAAGTGGATTATGCTATCCAGACGTGACAGCCGTGGAAGTAACAGAAGCTCGTTGCTCTCGAGACTCCTCAACGACGGGCAACCAAGAACGTCAGGGGCCTCTTTCATCTGCACTATCAGCTTAGAAGGAACTCTCTACGCGTGTACAGCAGTCGATATCGACGTTTGCGACATCTCATAATGGTTTACCAGATTCTAAAGAACCTAAACCAGGATTGCAGTCCGCTGCTGGAATTGAACCACAACCCTTACCTAAAAGGTCATTTTCGGCAACTGAAAGTACAGTATAGCCGGCTTGAATGCCGTAGAAATTTCTTCTTCCTCCGCGTTTGCCAGCCTTGCAACGCCCTCCCTAATTATGTCGTCTCTGCTCCCAATCTAGCGGTAGTGAAAAAACGAGTCGACGATGCGTTGTCTCATTTACATTTCATTTTATGACTTGTTAGCCAGTGGCTACAAAACGCAATCAAACGGTGTCTTGCCAAACGCCTAACCAATGGATTTATGGATTTATACGTTTAATACGTAAATATCTCCGCTATTCTGCATAAGTCCGTGATGAGTCCACTAAAACGCTTTTCACTTTACCGTGCAATTCACTTTTCGCAATTATTTCCATCCCGTGAGACTTGTTAAGCATTGTTTTGTTACCCGTATTACACCATTGTCCCACTGTGTCGTCGTAGTTGGACCCCTACAAAGGCTAATGTCACACGGGAGTCCATCGCTTTAGTAGACAATGGGGGACGATAAACAACTGCCAAAATGTAAAGGTCGTCGCGTCTCCGTCGCAGACCGCACCAGGGTGAGTCTATGATCATCGTTTCCATATCACCGACCGGGTTACATTGTAGTCGCCCTCGTCCTTGCTGGGGCGATGGTTTCTTAGAGGGGACATACCATGTATCGATACTTCGGCATCGGTAATTTCTGGTTGTAACTAATTTTCCGTTCCGAATATGAGGTCCCATATATATGATGCTTGACGTAGCCGCAACTCCGCAAGCTTGTTCAGGAGACCTCGTGCATTAGTGTTCCTTCAGGAAAGTTTCTCTGTTCATGGCAATGAATCAGGATGTGCGTTTTGGAAAAAATGTTGTGCCGACCGGTGAAGGGATGGCGATGACGAACTCAGCTGTGTCAGATCCATGGATCTCACTAGCACCACTTTGCTTCTCTCTTTGTATGCTATCTATGGGGTGTGTTTGCAGTTCGGTTGGCTAGCTGAGGGGAGTTCTCCGAACTGTCATCGGGAAGTGGTCAGACTAACTGATCTCTCTCATGTGTTTGCTTACTGGTTGCTGCTACAATACGGAGCTCGGAAGGAAGGCTGCTACGACTCGCATACCAGTACTCCAACACCCTTGGTAATATTTGTCTAGCTTGACGGACCATTTTTACGGTCATCGGGCCACATCTTTTGCAAGTTGGCGAGCTGCGCAGCCTTAAGCTTGATTGCTCTATCACGTTTTTTAGACAGAAAGTCTCGCAAATGTATCGCCACTGTTTCTGGTCGTGAGTGCTTGCTTATCGCTCAGCATGACTTAAATATGAGAATAAAAGCGCCATATATACAGACATGTTGTGAAATATTATTATGCATCTCAAACACCGTTGATATTGCGTATACATCTTTATTTTTGGTAAAATCATAGTTGCAGTCAGTAGCAATTACCGTTCGCGCATTCTGTGTGACCACTTTTGTGACCCTGGCTGTTTCAAGTAAACAAAATTGGGTCGAAATTCGATCACCCAAAATTTTCTCGGTTTAGCGTTACAGCAATAGCATGCCATAATTAAAACTTGGGAATCGATTTCCGCTGATTGTTGAAAGTATTCGAAACCGCATAAAAGCATTCAAGAGGGAATGTTAAGAGCCCGCAGGAAAATATTTTGTGTGTGACCGAAATTCGTCCAAATATGTCCAAGTGGGACGGCCAAGACCACAATAAACGCTCACTCGGGGGGTACCAACTGTCACTCAAGGGGAGATTTTTCGGTAACTCGTGTTATGCGAATACATCTCGGAGTTGGCTTTCGTTGGTGACAACAAATATTGCGGTCTGATACGCGATTAGAAACCTTGCGCGTGTGTTTCTGCGGGAAGTTTGCAAAAACTGCGATGTGGTTGTAACAGGTGGTCCGTACAAGCTAGATACGAAAGATGGAATGCCCTAAATAGCTTTGGTGAACCTGAATCGAATGAGTGTAAACACTTGTTTGCGTTGAGAATTGCGGTAGTAAATCCGATCTGAGTACGAGGTCAGAGAGAATGCGACCACATGACGGTGTTTGCGCTGAAGCGAGACCAGTGTTAAGGTACTACTCCCCGTCTCTGGCCCGACCAAACGACGCGAGGCGCAGCAGATCCAACAAGTCCAGCACGTCGCTGTCAGGCTCTTCCCCAGTTTGCGTGGCTTACTGTACCAATACAGGTGGGAGAAGATGGTACTATACATCTCGGCCTATCGTCAGGTACAAGTCCGCCTAATACTAACCTACCGCGTTCTACACCTAGGAATTTCCCCGTGGTGAGGCCACTGCTCCACTTGCGAATTCCTTGCGGCACGCGCGGACACCAGTGGAACTTTCGGTTTCAGCTTTGAAGCGAGTACACCACCACAAGTGCGTGATAGTTCAAGATGACCTGGGTTGTTTGAGGCAGACTGAAAAGGCATCTAAGAAAGCAAACCAGTACCTCGGCCTTCTTCGAAGAGCTCTCGGGAAGTTTGACAGTGCAGTCTTTCCAAAAATGCTATGTGCGTGCGTGCGGCCGCACACGGAATACGCTATCCAAGCGTGGCAACCCTGGCTCAAGCCCCATCTCACCGCGCTCGATACTGCACAACGTAGGGCAACGAAGAGCGTCAGAGGTTTGACCAGCCTCCCCTACTAACTCAGACTGATGACCCTCAAAATGTACAGTGGACGTTATCGGCGTCTAAGCGGCGACCTCATAATGATGTACCAGATCCTGAGAAACCCCAACCACCTATGCCATTCCCTTCTAACACTCAGTCAAAACACCCCGCTAAGAGGTTACCGGTTTAAGTTAGTCACGCAGTACAGCCACCTAGAATGTCGGCGAAACTATTTCTCCCTTCGAGTGTCGCAGCCTTGGAACGCCCTCCCGGAACATGTAATTAATGCACCCACCCAATCCCTTTTCAAAAAACGCCTTGACGATACCCTGTCACATTTACACTACGTGCTATAGCCCATGACCACCAGATGCTGACACTAATACACAACAGACAGTGGATAGTGCCATAATCCTACTCGAGAATGAGTCACTCCAAACCCTTGCACGAAATTTGATAAACGCTACTTCTATAGAAACTGGATTTCTGCATCTTGTCGACCCAAGATAGCTGCACAGGAGTAAGCCTTGTCCTTGCTATCTTTTTTATTTTTTCTCGCTTATTATATGATCAGTAACTGCTCCCCTCATTGCGTTTTGTGCGTACACTCTCATTTTAAACTCCCTTTATACGGCAGTGCAGTTAAATCTGTAAGCGCCCGAACTGATGACTCCATTATCACTTGAGCTATCATTTTTCACTCTAAAAACCCTACGGGACACGTCAAGCACCTGCTTTTTTACTCGTTATAAATCATTGTTCATTGAAAGGCGAGTAGTCAGTGTTTTCAACAGCTTGCTGGAACATTTCGTAAAGCATATTCGGCACAGTAATTCAAAACGTTGTGGGATGCACATTTCTCCAATCTTAGATTCTGGCATCTCACGTTTGTGAGCCCCAAATTACTGCGTTACCGGTTGCTGACGATAGCATGTGAAATTTGGAAAACCATCAGTGTGTTCATATGTCGTGGATAGGGTTTCATGACGTTTTTATCTTATTTCTATGGTTGTACCGAGTTACACTTCTTCTCGCTCCCAAAATATAGTAGTTAGTAATCAGACTGGACAATTTTATCGCCTACGATATGAGATGCGTGCATTCCACAAACTTGAGAATAAAAGCTCCACTTTCAAGGAGGTTATGAGAGATGATCATTTCCCTGTTTATCATAACTTCACGCGGATATTCCGTCCACTGCGGTGTCCACGAGGTGTTATACCAACGTGTTTTATCGTCCGCTGTGTCCATTTTGTCTCGTCGTGCAAGGATGACCAAGGTTCCTCACTGGATTGAACGTTAGATTATCGGCGAAGCATGAATGAAAGAGTCAATGAACTCACCAGTAAACAGCGAATGCTCCTGCCAAGGGTTTGGTCTAATAAGTCAATGTAGCAATCTTAATACTGTTTCCGTACGGTGTGCACAACCGTCAGCAAGTTTAGCTCGCAACCAATCCACAGCCAACCTTCTGCGACAATACCATCCTGAGTAACTTGCATGTTGTATTTACAAGTGGAATACGGTAATGGAAACAAACGATAGATAATTAGCAACCAATACACGAAAAATGTGGCAAACATGTGCCCGCGTAAAGTAACATTTGCACGAACCGCTAAAAGTGTTGGAACTTAATAGTAGTGATTTAGCTATTCAGTGATGATTTCCTCGCTACCAGCTGCATGACACCTAAGCCACCAACCAAGGAATTCATTCTGGGACGCTGCTTGTTTGCCCGGTATTCCTGGAAAAACCCAGCAACCCTACCGCCTTGATGTTGGTTTCGCAGCTGTCCGTATCTTCTATGTTCGCTGACCAGCTTGAAGTAAAACGTTGGTGCAGGCCACATCGTTGTTGATTGGTTACGCATAAAACCAATGTTGGTCATGATGACCAGTGAGCTTACGGCTCACTGTCCGTCACTCCGCCGATTACATAACTAATCACGAGTTCTGTGAATGGCAAACAGGTTTGCATCATATTTCAAGTTTGTAGTAGGTGAGTGTAATTAGTTTCGACTCATCAATCTACCGGCCAGGAAGCATAATGACGGCTGTGAACTCAGTCTCCAGGCTATGGATAGTCTATCTCACGATGTCTGTATGCTATACGACACCGGTGCGCTTCACGGTGTTCAACGTGGACGGAACGACAGTACCTAGCGTGGATGACGGGGAAACTGGCACCACACCACTTGCTCCGGATTATCGTACGACAACTGGTGTTCCACGGATGTTGGGCACGACACCTCCTCTGGGACAAGACACAGTCATTGCGCGAACAACACCGGCAAGTCGGCCAAGGCAGACTCAACCATCACAACAATTGCCTCAACCGCCCCCACCACCGCAAGCGGCAACGGTGCAACAGCAACCACTTCCTGTTGCTCAACAGCCAATCACAACTGTGGCGGTCCTGTCTCCGGTGGACCAGAATGATGTGCCACAGGCAGGTCTGCTGCCTCAATCCCCGTCAGTGTCGAGCGTTCGACCGCAGCTGGACATTCCACCGCAACAGAACGTCCCGCTGCAACAGGACATCCCGCCCCAACCGGACTACGCACCGCAGCTAACTACACGGCCAAAAATGGTTACCGAGACAGCGATTTCGCAGACCCTTCAACAACCCGGGGATCTCGGTCCACTGCCACCACCTCAAACTCTGCCCCCACAAAGTGGTGCAACTAACCCCCCTAGTACGAACCCACCACAGCAAGTTGTTGAAGCCGAACCGGCAGTACCAATCGAGGAGGATTTGCCAATCACCACTCGACCACCGAGCGATTTGGAGTTGTTGTCTGAAACGAGTGAAGTGCAAGATTCACCACCGTTCACCGAACCTTTCTAAGTCATTAATTTTCAGTATGACCACTGTGAAGTGGAACACACTATGTGCAAACTGTTCATCATGATTCATTGCAAGTCTCATGCTATTTCCTAGAGACTGTTTAAGCAACTCAGTTTTACTAACAATAATGCGTTGTTCGTTTGCATTAGTCTAGTTTCTTTCTTGTGAACAAAGCCTGTCTCAGTGGTGTGTGTTGCTACAGGATACAGGACAGTCCCAATACAATTAACGTTTTAGAGGAGTTGGTTAGTGTTTCATACTTAATTCATTCAGTTTGGTATTTACATTTGCAGCCATAAGCAGGTGGAAAACACGATGGATTCGTAATTTTCAACAAAGTAGTAATATAAGTTGAGAGACTTGTATAAGATTACTGTACAAATTCCTGTTCATATTGAAATGGAATGTCTGATCTTCGCAATTGTCTGTTGCTCTACTATTTCTGCATTAGGTTTGGTCACTTCAGGTCAAGTCAATATCGTCCTTAGGTTATCGAGTGAGTGCGCTTTCAGCGTTTTACTTTAACTGCCGCAGCCGGACTAGAAAACCAACGTTAAAGTGCAGCTTGTATAGCTAGAAAACATGGCATGAGATGTACAGGTTTCCACCGAAAATCAGTCCAGCATAAACAAGTAATAATTTTCGTTAAGGAACTAAATCAGTAGCATTTGCTTCCTGCTGATGGTATAGTGTCGGAAACCAGTTTGTCAACCTGGTAGGTCATTATTCAAGTTACGAGAACGCCTTTTGATAAATTTTCGCGTAGTACGCGCAGTATCTCAAAGTTCTTTTTCCAAAAATCAACGAACTAGTGACCTTAAAATAGCATGACAGAAAAAATGTTAACAATGTTTGATGGAAAATTCTGAATTTGCAAATCGGTGGAATCGCCGTAGGGCACGTTTTGGCAATGAAAACTACGTTGCCAGATGTGCCGGGCAAAACCGATGATCATATCGTGTGTTTGCGTGTGATTCGCCTATTGTCGGTTTTTATATCCAGCCTTGCAAATGGTTCCGGGAAACAACAAGTGCTTGTTGAACATCGAAATTGCAGCGGCAAAAATGACAAACAGACAAACATCTATCTACAGTGCATGCACACAGAGAAAGAAATATTGCATCTGTGTAACCAGTCATCTTTCAAGCTGGCGAAGCAATCAATAAACAATGAACAATGAAGGCATATGGGTTAAGAAGCGCTGCTTTAAAGCACCGTTGGATAGTTAGTGGGATATCCAAATAACAATGATGCTAATAATAATAATAGTAAAACAGTTAGTAATTTAAATATGAAATAAGGACTTAACGTTTGCTCCGCTGTAGTCCTGCAATCCGCTTAGATTCACAGCACCCATAGTTAACATCAAATACATTCATGATAAACACTAAGTGTAGGATGGAGACATAATGCTAAGTGACAAAGTGTAAGTGGATGAGTGCATCATCCAACCGTATTTTAACTACTGTTAGTGTCGGTGCAGAGACGGCCGATGCTGGAAAAGCATTCCACGGGTGACAGACAAGAATGGAAACGAAATTTCTGCTGCACTCCAGGCGGCTACACTGTACAGTGAGTTTCAATGAATGGTCCCTCAGTGTTGTATTGCTGCTGAATCACAGTTAAGGGCGGCACACATGATGTGGGTCTCCCCGAATCACGTATGCCATAATCAAATCGGCTCGTAGTGTGCGATAACTTCCACTGAATATCCCCAATCGTCGCAACTTCACCTCGTATGAAAGATTGCGCATTCCAATTACCTTCTTAGATGCCCGACGTTGTGGCTGCTGCAGTGCATCAAGATCGTGTTTCAGCCATGGATGCCACGCTTGGATTGCGCATTCGACATGGGGGCGAACATACGCACTGAGCATTTGTCGAAATATGGAGCTGTTTATTTGTTCAAATGCCCTTCGAAACAGCTCGACGTGTTGGTTCCCAGTTTTCGAGACCTTTTCAGATTGCTTGGACCAACTCAAGTCATCTTAAACCAGGACACCCAAGTCACCTTCGACTGTTGAGTATTGCAGTACATACGTTCCGAGCCGGTATGCTTAGCTGCTCTGATGTCGCATGGAAAGTACCTTGCATTTACTGACGTTGCAATGCAGTAAGTTTTGGGTTAACCATTGATATACCGTATCTAGGTCACTTTGAAGCAGTTGCTGGTCAGCGTTCACCTAGCTCCTGCGTCAAATCTTGATATCGTCGGCAAACAATAGGAAGTTTGAAACGATTCCCTGTGCAAGGTCATTAATAAACCGCGAAAACCTTGGGCCCAGAACTGGGCTTTGCGACACACCATACTCGAATTGCATGGTGTCCGATAAAGAGCTCCGAAATCTGATTACTGATTGCCGTCGAATTAGAAAGTTGGCAATCCAGCTTAAAAGAGGATAGCCGATGCCGTAATACTGGAGCTTGGGAGTAGTATGCAATGGTCTAGATGATCAACAGCCATCGAAAAATCCAAATAGATCACATCAGAGCCTTCTCCAGCGTCAGTTGACGCGGTCCAACTACTGCGTGTGATCAGTCAATCCGTTGTGTATGACCGTCATCAACGGAAGCCGCGCTGCTCAGGAGGGATGATGTTACATTTTTCCAGTTAACAAATTAGTGCATCGGTAACCATAGATTCCAGGACCTTGGAGAGTAAAGGAAGTAGGGATACTGGGAAGTAGTTGGAGGGCTCAGTTCTGCTTCCACCCATGTGAATTGGGGTTTTTATTCCGAGTGTCCACATAGGAGGAACTTGATTCTGGTCTAAGCAACGCTGGAAAAACTGAGATAAAGTTCTTGCTAGTTGCCTTGGTGCTACTTCCAGTACCTTTGGACGAATGGCATCGACACCCGGCGAGCGGTGTTTGCGTGGAGACGTCAAATTTTGCAATACAGCTTCTACGGCAAAAGTGACGTGCGTTAGTCCTGTCGGAGAGACGACAAAAAGTGGAAGATTGCTTGGTGGCACGACCCTCCGAAACGTGAAGACATACTGCATCCGCAGCGCGTTTGTTGCTTCCACAGCCATTCTTGTTGGGCCATCGACCGTCCTGCGTGGAGGATATCCTTGCCTCACCTTTCGTAGGCTATTGGCGTGTTTGTACAGCAGTTTGTGAAAGTGTTCGCGATGTTCAGTTGATATGCAAATTGGTCTTCTCTTAGCAGTTGAGTGCAGTGCTTACGTTGGGCTACGTAGTTGTCCCAAGTTTCTGGTACTGAAGCTTCTCTGTATCTTCGCCATGCTGCGCTGCGTTTTGTCGAATTTTTCGAATACTACTCCTAACGAAAGAAACTGGCGTACACTATTTGCAAACTCTTATCGATGAAGCCTTTGCCATCAGCTGACTGAAGTTGTTCACAAATTGGTCTGGCGACTCCCTGGGGTTTTTAGGCCAGGAAGAACCAGGTTGTGGCGCTGACGAGCTGGGTTAATCGATCGTAGCTTGTGATGGTTCGAACAATCTCATCGTTCTCATTCCGATATTCCAGACAGCAGACGAAGTTGAAACTGATTATTGTGTGATCCCTGCTACCCAACGGGCAGTCTAAAACCAACACATCAATCATATGCTCTTCGTTGGTAAACGCAAGATCCAGCACGGATGGCCTGTTACCCGTACTGAACCGAAATATGTGAAGATTCTACGTGCTCTATATTCGAACACTACAGGCCGCGTCAGGGTCTACGGTGGCCTATCCGATAGCTTTCCGACCACAAGCAACGTTCCTCAGGGTTGTACGATTTTCCAATTTTTGTTTAGTTTCACATGGATTCTATCATGTAGTGTTTCCTTGCGGAATCGCACGATGTAGGCGTTGAAGTGCTGCCTGGTGTATGATTACTTGATCTTGATTATACGGACGATATCGTCGTGATTTTCGAAGATCTTGCAGCGGCACTATCAACCCTGAATAACCTGTCTAGAGTGGTCTCATTATTTGGTATGCAATTCGCACCTTCCAAGTGCAAAGTGTTGTTGCAGGACCACCAGCCACTTTATGACCCCTTGACCCTTGCTAACGAGGAACTCGAAGTGGTTGATTGATTTACTTATCTTGGCAGCTACATCAGCAATGATGGACGCATAGAAACTGACGTCACCTCACGTATTGCAAAGGTAATAGCTGCCTTTTTGAACCTGCGGCATTTTTAGCGACGGAAGGGTGTTTCCGTCCGTCTGAAAGGCCGTGTATACAAGGCCACAGTGAGGGCTGTTCTGCTGTATGATCATGAGACTTGGCCCCTTCTGTCTGAAGATCTGAGGCGCCTTCTAGTCTCTGATCAACGTTGTCTGCGAGGCATTGCTGGTGTCGGATGGCACCAGCGTGTCCGCAACGATGATGTGCGTAGGAGAGTACAAGGTGGTGATAATCATGTTAGCTCCCTAGAACAACAGATAGCATTGAATAAGTTGTGTTGGCTAAGGCACGTGCTACGTATGTCTGGGCACTGCTTACCTAGGAGGGCCTTGTTTAGTTTGCCACTTGTAAGTTGGCGCAAGGCTCGAGGTGGACAGAAGTTGAATTGGCAGCGGGAAATGAAGTTACTGACGACCAAATTGGGTGCCTTTGGTCCGTCTCGTCTTCCGCGCTAGTCCACGTCACTCGTCTTGTGTTTGGCTCGAGAGTTTACAGGACATGGCTCGCAAGCGACACCAGTGGCGCGTCTGCTGCCGTCTCCTAATCGGATTGTCCGTTTAAAGTGCGTTTGATGCTGAATTTTTTGCGGGGTAATGGCTGATTATGACGCGTGGCAGTGAAAGCCGCAAGGAAGCTGTCTCGCCGATGCCGCCTTGTCTTTGCACGATAGCCAGTTGTTTGCGACGGTATGTTGTCTACACAAGGTGTACGTGCCTTGACCCTGAATGTTTGCTTAGGGCATTAAGGTTTTCAGATAAGTCCCCTTCTCTCCCTCTTATTATTCTTTATTTCATAGATCATCATGGTTGTACGGCAGCGAAGCATCAGTTCAAGCGGTTGATGTACTGCTGTTG